ACAACAGAGGTTCAAACTTTGGCCATTATGCTCATTACATTGAAAAACAAAAAAAATAAAATCACACTTTCTTTGCAGGGTGAGGAAAAAGCCAAAAAACCCAGATTAACCCTGGTACATAATCAACACAACCCACATGCAATCACAGTGATAAACCTGAGTGTTTGGGGAGCTGGAGAGTAGAAGTGGTAACAAACAGTTGGAAATGGGAGGCTGATAAGGGAACCAGCCTTGCTGCAGGGCAAAAATGTTTGTATAACTACATCTGTGGCTGAGAGTAAGAGATGCAAGGGAATCTTTAGACCCTTTGTGGAGCAGACACTAGGTGGTGACAAAGACTTGCACACATGTGGGTTAAAGAACACCCAGAAACATGGGGCCTTGGAGCAGGTCTTACAAACCTGGAAGCCATTTATATTGGCTTAATTAGTAATGGATGCTCGTGTTTCTAAACTGAGAATCGAGCCCTGAGCTTGGCATTAAAGCACAATAATTATTACTGTAGGAAATGTGCAGATGGAAACCATCACTTGAGGATTCTGTTAGTTTTCAAGCATGTAAAAGGCTAAGATAGCAGAGGAAGAAAAGACTGTATTAAGGTGGTAGAAAAAAAACCCCACATCAGAAATTCTTTTCCAGGATTAGTGTTATGAAGAAAAATGTTTTGCTGAGTCTACACATAACTAAAAAATCTCAAAGAGTAGAACGTCTTTTTTTCAAAGGGAAACTATTTAAAAGAGCATGGAGGAGTAGTGGGTAGTACATCATAAAGAACAATCTTACTATGGCAGAGAATAGCCAGTCCTCAAATAAATATCTCTGAATTTAAAAAAAAAAAACCAGCTTCTTCATGTTGGTAAATGATAATCACTCCTTGGCCAGACACAGCTTTGTATGTGTGTTAGGTGTCCAGCTAAATAAATAACCTAACCTAATGTTCATTTAGTTGCCTGAATTTCGGTGCTGTTTCCTTCTAGATACATCCTGATCCTCTTTCTAGAGCATCAGCCCATACCCTATGCAAAGTGCCTCAATTCAAAATACACAGGTGAATACTCTGAAGTGTCTAAACATAGTACACTGCAGAAATTCAAATGACAGCTCCATATTGAATGGCACATGTATTTGTTATGGCCACAGCTGAAGTCCTGGCATCACTGATGTCATGCACTTTTTTTCAACATTGCAGTGACTTGACATGCTAGTCACAAAGGGCCAGTATCTGGCACCACAAATCCTGCCTGCTGCACTTCCAGACTAGTGCAAGAAAGTTCTTTCATCCAAATGATCTACCCAAATGATCCAGTTAAGCAAACATGCCAAAGTCATGCTAAGGACATGCAGGATTTATCAGATGAACTACTGACCCACTGCCCTGGGGTGTGCTGGTGCTTTCGTACTTCTTTCAGATCTGTTGCTTACGAGTTCAACTGTACAAGCATTCTGAATGCAAGGACAGGCTATTTTATGACATTAAAACTCATAAACTGAATGTGCCACAGTGGGATTCATTTTTCTTTTACTTTAGAATGAGCTTGGTCTTACAGGATTTCAGGGCAACAATACAGTCAGACCTTTGCACTTGATATATATATATATATATATATATACACTGCAACATTTGTACTATATACGTGAAAAGTTCAGAGATGCGCAAGGTTAAGTTATTGCAAGTTCTTGCATACAATAGCATAAAGAAAGCTCTAAAATTTCTAATAAAATTCTAATAAGATTGTGAAATACAAAATATTCAGGACAATTTTTCTTTAGCATCTCACTCAGCATATGAACTTTTTTTTTTTAGGCATTCAAACATTATTTCTTGGAGGTAAAGAGATCCTTACAAGAACCCTGTTTGAAGACCCTGTTGGTGAGCGCCTGCTTTTGGAAAAGAAAAACAAAAAAATTAGACTGCTTCCTCAAAGTAATGCATACTGTGCCACTCATCCACTTGCAAAGACCAGGTTATGGCACTATGAAGGGTTCCACCCTCACAAACACTCCTGTTTCCTTAAAAATGTTATGAAAATATGTAGTAGGCAATGGCCTGATTCCACCTGAAGCAAAATCCAGTTTCTTCTATTGCAAGGATTTGGTCAGTGTCCAGTGTGACAGCTGCTTTCCAGACTGCCACAGGTACATGTCACCCACCTGACTGATGGTGCTCATGGCTCTCATGTAGCTCTCGTTGCGGGAGCGGAACTTGGGGGATGTCAGCAGCCCTGCAGGGTCCAGGCTGTCCAGGCTCCTGTTGATGGAGACTTCGCTCACTGCCCTCAGGTAACTGTGGCTCCGAATCTGAAGCTTTGGCGAGTGTTCACTGGATATCCTGAGAAGTTTGAGTGGGGAAAAAGAAAAAGAAAGAAAAAAGATAGTTCATCAAATCCAAATGGCATCACCAAGAGTGAGAATATCCAGGCATTTTACAATGGAATAGACTGACTTGAACAAATCATTTCACAGTCCTTATATATTTATAAAATAAGGATAATGTCAGTACTTTTATTTGGATTACCCAACACTTTTATTTGGTGGGAGGAAGAGAGAAAGAAGGAAAGGATTTTCTTTTCATGTTTTTGTAAACCATGCCTAAGCAGAATGGCAAAATCATTTATTTGGTGAAGAGAGAAAGAAGGAAAGGATTTTCTTTTCATGTTTTTGTAAACCATGCCTAAGCAGAATGGCAAAATCAATTTCATTTTATTTACTGACAGAGCATGGAAAAATTTTACACTGTACTGACAATGACAGCAACCAACTCCAGCAAACTCCCCACTATGTGGGACTTCTGAAGTGATAACATTGAAATGACTTCATGTGTTGGTTTTAAAAGAGCAGGCAGAGCCACTGAGATGAGTGCAGTCCTGTGTCCTTACAGAGCTGAATGCAGCAACCACCAAAACCAGTTGGAGAGGTGGGTAAAGAAAGGAGAGGTCTGCTAAGTAAGATTGTCTGGATGATTCTAAACTTATCAGATGAACATCCACTTCTTGAAATGCTGTGACTCTCATGTATTTGTGTATGTACCCATGTAATGGAGTTGCTTCTCATGGAGCTTTCAAGCATGTACAGGCCAATAGGGAAGGCAGATCACACACAACATGCAAAATGCACTCTATGGTATATCTTAATCTGGGAAGTAATTCCAAGAATTTGGGGCACCTGGTAAGTTTTGATACGCTTTACATTTTATTTTAGTCCTGGCTTGAGCTACATGTTAACAAAATGTAGGCTAGGGAAGTAGCTTTACATGACAGTGTCAAATTAGAAGTTTAAAACCCACAGTTGTGTTTCTGAAGTGGTAAGTTTGCCTACTTTACCAATAGAAGTGACAGATGAGACGTACAAGCCTTCAAAACCAAACAACACCCTCCCTCCCTCCCTCCCTCCAGGTAATATGTGCAAACAGCTGTACTCCTGTCATATATACTTAGAGTCAGCTAGCAAAGGTTATAGTGTGTAGAAACAATCCACCTGCAAGATGTTTTATCCTTTGAACATGCTGGCTAAGTGCTGTCTTCACAAGCTAAGACATCCTATAATGAATGTGAGTCACAAAAAGTGATCCATGTCATACCTTGTATGCAATACAATTAATTTGGCTATATTTGTTTTGAAACAACTCATCAATAGATAAAGTATCAAAAGGGTGGTTCTTCACTATATTTTTGGAAATACTTTTAATATTCTCCAAGTATCACAAAGCAAACTAATTAAAATATTAACTAAATTTTCCATTTAAAAATATAAATCCCACATGAACGTTTACAGGTATATGAAAGAAAAATCTGCAACCTAATTGCAGGCTTAATCTTGGTCCCCTCATCTTTAGAAATATATATACAGCTGACCTTACAGAAGATAATCCATTTTATGTCTAATTCCTCAAACATTTGCAGATATTTTGTATTCAAGTATCTAATGATAGTAATTAGTATGAGCAATTTCCCGGTGGCATGCACAATTCTGGTAATTGTCAATGTGCTTTGGGAGGACAATTCCATTGTGTAATCGCACACCTAAGTAGTTCAGAAACTAGGTCTGTTTCTGAATGGTACAATACTGCAATAAAATCTAGGCCATCTCTACAATACTGTATTCTCTGGCTACTAATTACCTGCCTAATAAAAATAATGCTAATGATTTGATACTCCTGTCACAAGATGAGGATAAAGCCATTTTCACTGTGCGTATGATGTAATACTCACAGCAACCATATTCGTATGCTTTGACTTCTTACACCACTCGATTCCACATGACAAAAGCAGATTTTTAGACATCATAATTAGTGGTGTTCCAAACAACTCAAAAAAGGCAGAGAAAGTGACGAAAAAACAACCGTTAGTAATGGCTGGCTACAACTTTATGGCAACTAACACTAATCATGTAACTCGAGAAAAAACCCATCTTGTCTGTTGTCAGATTAAAAAAAAAGCACTAAAAAATAAAAAAGATGAAATAGAATGAACAATTCAACAGACATAATTTTTCAGATGCATGTGAGGTACTTCACCATGCTGCAGATCTGCAAACTGCACAGCATTGCCTGAAATGCATTTCCTAAATTAATTCAAAACATATTTTATGAATATGTTGTGAACATTTTGCTGCCAATATGTGACATGCAGAATTCAAATATGCTTGATTAGCTGCCAGTTAGTCAAATATGTCACCTGGGGCTTGTCGCTGTTCACTAATTAGCTGCGCCTGCAAGAAGACTGCAGCACATCACAAAATTCAATGCACAGATATTGCCAGACAAAAATCTCCAAGTGCTGAGGGAGGTGCCCTTTAAAATATGGAACCAATATAACAAGATGCAAGTATCCATAGCAGCAAGACTTTGCTGTGGCAGCCAGAGTAAAGATCATATCAAATGCTCATGGAAGCATCATGAAAAGCCATCATGTAGCCACCAAAAATATAGAAAATCATTTTGTGTACATATTAGTGTTGCATAGTATTTTCCCACCTCTGCTTGAAACAAGGGCGTCCATCCCTAAGAGTGGATGTTTCCCTGATGTTTCAGATGTGGGTGATCAGCACAGCTGCCACTTTCTTCTTTTTTGTTCCTGACTATATGACTGGTCAGTTTGACACAAATCTCGAACCGTATTTTGCAGGTGACTACTTATCTTAGTCTGTGCACACCTCTGTTGTATAAACCAGAGTAAGTTATTGGCAGCTGTTGAAGGAGGTGGCTCCTTGCTTACTGATTGCTACAATATCTTGTTTCACTAGATGTAATGATGAGAAAAAAATAAAAATAAAAAGGATTTAAACATAGAGAAAGAAACATTTGAATGTTTGCATTTATAATGATTACTGCTGCTTTTAAAGCTGTATAACAAATCGTCACTATGTTCTACAGTACAGTTAAATGAACAGCTGAAATGCTGCTGGAAATTTTGAAAATACTTATATATTTAGAAATAAACCTGACTGTGTAGGATGCACAAGATCTGAATGTCTAATTTATTTTCTCAGAGTTACTATTAGCAGTTACCTGTAAATGAAAATGTTCTTTTCTTCCTTAAGGGTTCAAGTCCATCTTTCATTTATCCTTCATTACCTAAACTTCTGTTTGTGCCACCAAAATTTCCACAACTAAGTACAACATGCAACGGACTGAGACTTTGGGACAGCTCTTTGACCAATACAAAATGGTTTGTTGGCTCCACTCACTGCATTGGATATATTAATTGGCAGAAGGGGGATAGGAATTATTAAAGTTATTGAACAAGCTCCTCAAGCATGCTCCATCATTTCTGTGTCACATTGTCTGCTGGTGTGACATGGGACAAGCACCAAAGGGTAGTCCTGAAGTCAGAGACAGAGACTTTTCTGGGAGGCTTATACATGGCTCATCCTCACTCCTATGATAGAAGAGAGATTTTGCCTGGGAGGCTTCTAGTCCCTTGTGGATACACAATGTGATGATGATGCTGGTTGAAGGTGCACTGATGGAGCTTGCAGCACGCTTTGGGGCTGGGCTGTCCCTGAAGGCAGCATGCTGCACTCACAAGCGGCAACTCATCCCAAACTGGCTGCATCATTCCTTTCCCCATACTGCTGCACTTGCCTCAGGCTTCAGGATGGGAGCACAGACACAACAGCCACACACTGATAATGTGCGGGGTGGGAGGCACAGAACTACTGGATGTGCTTCCCAGAAACCACAGCAAGAGGCATCAGGAGAAGATGAAACCTTTGGGTTTCTGCATCTCTGCTGATTGCTGCTGCAGGTTTCCCAAGAGAATTGACCACAGAAGGAGCCAGCCCTAAGCTGAGGTGGGTGGAAACGGAGTCTGCTGAGTCCCAATCGATAAATAAATGCTCCCTTGGATAGAAGGCAAGTGCTTCTGATCCACACTCTGCCTCAGGGAGGATCAAGGCACCCCACCAGTGAGGGAAAAATGCAACAGAATGTCTGTGAGGGGCTCTGAGAGGCAGGACAGTGTTAATTTAATCAGAAAACACGTTCTAGTGAAGAATCTAAACCAGAAGATTATGTAGGTGTGTAAGGAAATCTTTAAGCTACCTTGCATACTGCACTGTGATTTCTGCTCCGTACATTTCAGACACACTAAGGCTGATTCTCCTATTTTCACTCAAACAGAGAAAAGAAAATATTTAAAATACACACATCTAATCGCCTTACCACTGTTGCAACATGCATGTTAAGAAATACTTTTAACCCACTGTTACAGATGTGTTCATATTTACACAATATTAACATGATTTACATGATTTAATTCAGATCCAGACACATTCTGGTCCCTTATTTGACTATTTGCAGAGTAAGGAATTGGTCAGTGGAGGTAGATGTGAAAAGAGCAAGATTCAGGTGCTTTGCTCTGATTTGTAGTTGGAAGTCTGAAAAAGAGGCACGAAATAGTCTTAGCCTAGTGCCCAACTCAGACAATGGCCCAGGATGAATGAAGGGGGAAAGAAAGCTATATGCTGTCTTTACACACTGCCTTGTCATTTCTGACTTGCATATGTTAGCCATAATTTAGCTCATTCAAACATATATATTAACGGGTTCAAAATGCAGTGTTAGCAACTAAGAGTGAATTAGCTTTGAATATATTCCTGGAAGAGTTCCTTTGCCTTCAAAATGTCTTTCGAATGCCGAAGAGAAGATAAACAACAGGGATTTACAAGAGCAGGCAATTTTAGTTTCAAATGTTTCCTTTTAATTTAGGAAAGCACAATGCACTGTGGCATACATTTGCTCTTTATGAAAAACACTTTCATTTATTACATTTCATTTCTGAATGAAAAAAGGAAAGCCAAGACTGACGATGGCTGCTTTTTACCCCTTTT